TGACCCAATTCCTTCTACCTCCTGAAGTTTCCACTACCTAATAACAGTGTCATCAGCTGTAGACCAAGCCTTTAACACATGAATTTTGGAGAGACATTTAAGATCCAAACCATAACAAAATATTTTTCATCTTTCTATTAGTTAGTGTAACCAGGCAAGGAAAAAACATTCATCGAATAAGTTAATGAAGGCAGAGAACTATAGCATAGGTATTTTGTTACATCACCATAGTTACACTTAACATCAGGGAGTCTAAACATAAAATAATCATAGAAAAGGCTTAAATAGAACAAACTATAATACTTTTTTAATTACAATATTGCTTCATTATAATTTTAGTATTTAGGGAAGAGATGCTTCTTATATCACTTTATTTCTAAACTATTTTGTATTAAAATATACTTAGCATATATTAATGCACATAAATGGATTTGTAGCATTAGCATAACTTACATAATTAAAAAAATTATACAACAAAATTTATAAATACAGAATATCATAATTGAATATAATCAATGCTTTATAAAAGGCACTGTAATACAGTACTTCATTAAAAATTACTTAGTTCTAAATTTTCACTAGATGGCAGTCTTAGCCAAGTATTCAGTTTCCCAATTTAAAATAACATAAATGATGTAGGTTTTCTTATGCAGGTACTTTGCATAAATTGTGTTGTTTTGTCTAATTTCAACCATAGAAGTCATTCAAATATGATGACTAGGTCACTCAACTTTATTTTTTACTCACTCTTACTATGACTCCAAACATATCTAACTACATATATATTTCTATTTGATGTAATTTCTAGAAAAGGAATATAAACAAAAACTCCGAGCAATTACAAATTTATTTAAATTTAGTTTAATGGCATATATGGAAGATAAAAGTCATACTTCTCTAGGAAAATAAAGAATATTTCAAAGATGAAATAAATTGTCATTAGTTAAATGACTGCTCATAAATTTCTTCTCTGGTCTTATATCTCATTACTTTTCTATATATTCTTCACAAGCTATCCATTCATTAGTGAGTGTCTCAATGCTCCCTAATCTAGGAATATTCTATGAGCCATAATTTATCACCACTAGAAATATGTATGTAGCATTATAATTCATGAATTCTTATTGTTTCCTCTATTTGTTCATAGATGTGTTTCATGACAAGAATTTTATTTTATACATCTTTGTATCTCCTAGAGACAAGAGCTTTCAGATAGTAAACCAGTAATAGCTATTTGTTAAATCAGATATTTAAAATTGCCTTCATAAAATACGAATAATAATGATGAAGTTATCACCTAGTAATTACTATTTAAAAGTAGACAGGAAGGTAGAGTTTATAGTTTTAAATTAGATATGGATCTTAGTGTATGAAACCCTGATATGAAACTAGGTATTCCTAATAATTTGTTATTTTATCTAGATCCTCTGAGTTTCCTTTCCAGAGGTCTCCCTACCTCTTTATTAAAATGGTAAGGAGAGAGCTTTGGAACCCGAGTGCTGCGGGGTGAGTCAGGCTCTGCCACATACCTGAATGCTACCTGTCCCTCAGTTTCTCATCTGTAAGCTAAGAATCACGGGTTAATCATAGAATTGTTTTCTGTGGTTTGAAAAGATAATGACTCTCTTGGTTTCTGAAACAAGTTGGAAACTATTGAGTTACAAAGAAGCCAGACAGAGAGGGATCAAAATGTCTGGCAGGAGGATGTGACTTTGATATGTAGCAATAGTGGGTTTCTTATTCACCCTCAAGTATGGTGGTCCCGGGCCATGCTGACAACCAGGAAACTTGCCTTGTAGGGCTCAGCTTACCTAATAGCCTTGTGCAAACCAGCACATGTCTATAGATACTGAAAAATAGAGGCAAGGTTTAGCCACATGCCCTTAATACTTCCAGAGGAAGGAGGAGGTATGGATGGAAATAGGAAACAAAGAGGTTCCCACATGTTGTTGTGAAGATTACTTGAGTTAATACGTGGACAGTTCTTAAAACAGTGCTTCGTGTTTTTATCTATTAATATTTTATGGGCATTTTTTACCTTTCCAAAAGCTATAAAATGGAAAAAATACAAAGAAGAAAATTTGGGTCAGTGAACTTTCCTTTTCACAGTTCACAGCATAGAATGTAACAATTACTGTCTAAATGAAATTATAAGGCTTGGTGCTGATGGACCCATTTTTATAACTATTACTTATTCATTTTAGTTTCTACTGTTACAGACTATTATAAATTATCTGTGACAACCCATATAATGGTAACTATCATTTAAAAATATTTCTTAAATAAATACTTCTGAGAATCCAGGATGGTATAAGCTTGGCAATTGGTGGCATTTTTTTTTAGGCTTACCAGAGAGAATTTGCTGGCTCAAAAGTCAACTGATGAATATGTACATCATATGCATACACACACACACACACACACACACACAACACACAGGTGTATATGCTTATGATATTTGTATATACATATATACTTATATTTATACTTAAGTGTGTATCTATACACACATTTTTTTAATGAGAAGACTCTTAAATTTTAAGTTTCTGAGAAAAGGTAAGTTCAGTTTAGAGAATTTACTATCATTGATGACTTTCAAATGAAAAAATTGGAACTGCAAAAAAGCAAGTCAGATGGCATATAAAAAACACAGGGTTACTGTTTAAACAGTTGTACTTTCATCCTTAACATTTTACCCACTAAACCAGGCATCCCTGATACACAAACAAGAATTAAGTGATTATTTATTTTAACAAAGATTTATAAATTAAAGGCATATAAAATTCAGTACTAGGCACTGGAAGGATAACTTTGCCTTTTTAGGTGTCACTACTTAAAGAGCTCAGGCATGGATAAAATCCAGCAGAACACAGGCAAAACACAATGTAATAATTGGTATGAACCAAATACTGGGGACCTAAAGTGGAGAGGAGGATTTTGATTTAAAAAAGGTTTTTAAATTTTCATACCAATTGGATTTGAGAGGAACTTTAAATAATGACTCAGCTTTCAATATACAGAAATTGAGGAGGTAAGTAAACAGGGTAGTAAGTGCATTTTAGGCAGAAATTGTAACATGAGAGAAGCTAAGAAAATATTAATGCCCATGGCTAAGAAATAGTACCTATTGTTTGTCCCTGTGCTAAATGTTCCACAAACCATATTTTTGAGTTTGCAACACCCTTCCTTTAAAGAATCTCAGATTTTGAGTATTATTAAACAACTCAAGATTCTAGAACTATTATCAATTGCACAAATAAAATTACAGTATTTTCAATATTAATAATCAGCATAAGAAACTGTATTGACAATGTTGTTTTGTTGATAATCTTTCAGTTACCCTTACTGTAATTTATCTAGATCAAGGAATATGGTAATATTTGTTCTTGAAATTAAGATTAAGTAACAATGGATTTCCCAAAACACCTGATGGTATTTTAGCTCCCAAAGGCCTTGATTAGATAAAGTCCCTGTGTTTGTTCATTTAGTAACCAAGAAGGTATACAAATTTCACAAAAGAAACATTTGGATGTTTTAGTGTCTCAACTGGAGTGATACCTAAAGCCCAGAGAAACAGACCTTGAGGCAGGTATTCCCTAAGTTTGGCCTGTGGCTGGGGAACCAGCCCCTCTGGAATAATGACATGCAGCAGACCCTCTGCCTGGCAGGAGGGCGCTGTCCCAGCAAATCATCAGTCAGCATTAGGGAATTAGATCTGAGAAGAGGTCAAAAATCATCTGTGGCACCAGGACTCAGGAACAGGGCTCGAATTTTAAAAGAAGTACAATCCTTTACAAAATGCCGAATCAAGCAGCAAGAAATGGGAGCAAGCTCACTACTGGAACTGCTGAAAGATGAGAGCAGTGGAAGCTGAGTTGGTTTTGAGCTACAAACAGATTGTTTATATCCTGAATATTTTCAGTCAGTGCTAGTCCCTGAGTTCAAGGGAGGGGGTTCAGCCTAGTAATGAGAATTAAAAAAAAAAAAAAATTGTAGTTGTAGGTAGACAGAATGCCTTTATTTTATTTCTTCATTTTTATGTGGTGCTGAGGATAGAACCCAGGGCCTCATGCATGCTAAGCAAGCCCTTTGCCACTGAGCTACAGCTCCAACCCAGTAATGAGAATATTAAGTGGTCAGAACTTAGTTTAACTTAGTGTAAAAATATTGCATGGAGGTGGGGCTGATTATCATAGGAAGTAGCTGCTATGGAGAATCCCAAACTATTTGAACCAAGAAAGCTACCAAGGATGCATATATACTAGGTAAGGATTAGATTGTCAAAATATAGAAAGGCATTTATTGCGGTATATCCTGTCATTTTTCTCTGGGTGAGAAAATCTAATGTTTTTATGTATGCGTGTATGTATATGTATACATATTTGGGAAAATGGCCAAATGAAAAGAAAGCTAGTGTGAAGCCATTTGACATGTGAAAATTCTCAGAAGCCTTTTGTAAACATCTTTATCAATGTTATAGCATTTGCTCTGCTTCACTATGGTGAAATTTTACCTAAATCATTTCCTCTTCTCGGAAGTTCATTGTAGCAAAATTTGATGTTTAAGAATTGCATACTATTAGAGTAGGGAGCCACAGGGTATCAAAGAGACCACATAATGGACAAGAAGCTCATCATGTAAAAATTTTGCCAGTTCACACATTTCTGTTTTAATAGGACCCGTAAACTAATCTTACAACTTCTTAAATCAGTTTTATGAGTTTTCTTCGATGCTGTTTCATAATTATGGAGATAAAAAATGTCTAATAAAAGTCAAATGATTGAATTTATTTTTCTTATTGTGCTAAATTGTTGTTGAAAATATTCTTAGGAAAATAGTGTTTTATTTTTCTTGTATAGAATATTTTATGTGGCACTGCCTGCTGTTATAAATGGATATAGTTTATGCTGAAGGCTAGGAATCATTCACTTATAAATATGTTGTTATGATAAATACCATATTGGATTGTTAGTGTGATGCAAATTTTTTTTTAACTGTAGGTTGTTTTCGAGTCTCAGTATTATCACAGAGCTTACTCACCCAGCAAACATGAGATTCATGCAGTTCAGAGCCAAAGACTGCTATTCCCTTGCTCTTTCAAAACTGGAAAAGGTAAGACCTACATTAAAAATAAAACAAAAAAAATTTGGATTTAATTATTTTGGTTGAAAGAACTAACTAGAAATATCTGTGTATAGAAAGAAATGCCATGAGATAGGGAAGGTGAAATTGCTGTTTTGAATTCCTATCTGGGAGCTAAAATTTTTTGAAACAGTGAATTGATTAATTTGAATCATTTATTTTTACAAGTAAATATGGTGAAAATGTTTTTTTTCTGTCATCAACAATTATAAATCAAAACTATAAGTTTATAAAGAATTAAGTACAATGGAAATGTATATATTTACTTAATGTTGGTTATATTGAGAGCATTAGCAATTATTTCCTATGTCATGACATCTATATTTGAAATTCCCCAAATCCCTAAGATATTAAAAGAGTCAGAGATTTTGTTGAAAGCTGGATTCTAAAATGTCACCAACATAGCCTGAGACAAAGCCAAGTTCATTGTTTACCATAAGTAAGAGGTACTTCCACTTTAGGGGTGCTTTGGGAATGCCCCAGAGGAGGGAAAGCAAGGTCAAAATATATTGAGGAAATTTGATTTAGCGAGGATACTTCAAAGCAAGGACTTGGTTACAGCTGGGAAGAGATGGAGATGATGCTAATAGAGACAGTGGAATCGCGTTGTCACGTTTTGTGGAAAGAAAGTTTTGGTTTCCATTCTCAACAACCAGGTCCAGCAGTGGGTAGATGTTGTTGTGTATTCAGCGTTTACTAGATATTAATTGTTAGAGGACTATTCATTTCTGTGACCAAAATGCCTATCAAGAGCAACTTAGAGGAGGAAAAGTTTATTTTGGTTCATGGCCTCAGAGGTTCAGTCCTTGGTCAGCTGACTGCATTGCTCTGGTTCAAGGTGAGGCAGAACATCTTGGTGGAAGTGCATGGTGGAGGAGCTCTGTTCTACTCATGATGACCAGGAGGCAGATTAGAGGACAGAAAGAGACTCCAGGAAGATGGACTCTTCAGGGTACACCCACCACCCAATTAGTCCATTCAACCTAAATTAGGCTGATTAGTTACCGCTCTCACAGTCTCATCATTTCATCTCTAAATATTCCTGCATTAACACAAGAGCTTTTGGGGAAGACTTCATATCTAAATCATAACACGAGTATATCGAAAGAACTAGATTGAAAAGGGAAAAAAAGACTCAGTTCTATACATGTAAAAACAAGTTTATGTTGTCTTCTTTGCTTATGACACATAAGAGGCAGAGAAAATGATACTTATATTTTTGTTTGTTTTTACATTTCACCTGAGAGTTCTCTTTTACATATTTTTGTCATGGGAAAAACTCAGTCTGCTTTCTGTATGATAGAAGCCAAATAGTCAAGTAGTAAAGTATCCAGAGAGAAAGAATTTTATTATGATGAGTTAGCAGAGTGGAAAATGGGAGATATGGTCCCAAGAAACTGATTTAGGGTTGGTTCATATAGATGGGTGACCAGATATTGTGGTGCTTTCCCACCATGGTTGCAGGTTTGTGGCCAAATCATGCACATCTGATCTGATCACCAAATCACAATATTTTTGTGTTTTGTAGATCTCAAGAACAAATATCTTTATTTACTCAAACAACCCTGTTACTGATTAGTTTGCCTACGTGTAGTTCCTGACATGTTACACAATAGACAGGCTAGAGAGGGTAGAAAGGGAACCCTCTTGCTGATCCCCAAATTTTGAGTAATGAAAGAGAACAAATTTCATATGATTATTATGAAAGAAAATAGGGAAGTGAAATTAAATACGGAGTTGGACATGAAATCTGGTCCCAGTGCTTAGTTTCTCTATTATTTAAGACAGCATCTTCATTTCTGTTAGACTTGATGTGTAAGAATGTTTCTGCACTTCTGTCTATGGATTTCCATCTCCAAAGCTAATCACATACACTGTGTTAGTCCAACCTTACCACACTCTTTTGTGGGCTTATGGAAATTGTTGTTATGCCCACTTCCTGACATGGAAACTGAATGTTAGATTAAATAACTTTTTCAAGATTGTGTGGTTATCACACCAATGCAGTATGGGAAACTTAGGAATCAATATTTGAGCCAGAAACTCCATTATGCTATACCACTTTAGCAGCATAGAAGGGGTGAAGGGATGGAAAGCAGGACTAAATTGTCTTAGTACCCACAGGCAAACCCAGTAATTAGGAATCTAGCTGGAATTGGGGCTGATGTGATGCAACATGCCATGCTTTGTGAAAAATGAGGTGGGATCACCAGGTGCTCAAGAGGCCAGGCTTTGGGGTCAGATTTGTCAATTTTGAGGAATGAAATCAGAACAAATCATTTCCAGGTTCAAAACCCTGGGATACTTATCTGTAAAGAAAACAACCTAGTATTTGACATATAATTAATAAAAATGATATTAAAAGCATAAAATGTATCTGTGTTTAATGTCACTAATTCCATTGTATGCATTCAGTTTTATGCTGGGTCAGTTTATGTAGCAAGGTCATAATTGTGGAAGTTATTTTCAATATTTGTAAGCTTATGTATGTCTCCATAATTGTGTGTTTATTGCATTAAAGAAAAAGAACAAAATGAAGTTTTGATGTTTACTGGAGCATTAATTATAAATGAAATCTGTTGTTAACCTGGAAATCCTTTCCACAAATGTAGGAAACAGTTTTATTTGATAAACATTTAAACCAGACATTTTATGTATCCCAGGCAATCCACCAGAGACTGCAAAGATGGTCAATTACGTCCTTGTTAATAAAAAACCACATGCATGATATTTATGTATATGCTTTTCTTTATCCAAAGGAAAAGCAAAAACTTTTCTGTCTTTGTAATAAACAAGGTATGGAATTGAGCAAGGACCCTGCCTGATGTACATATAAGTCATTACTGTGGCACTGATTTTTGGTGATAGTGGTGGGGAGGGAACAGATTTCTTGTGAGGTTGACCTGCAGGGAGATCAAGAGCAGAAAGCTCAGATCTGTCTCTGAAATCTGTTGGTGATGGATTTATAGGAAGGTGAGGGACGAATTGATTGGATGGCAAGAAGGGGAGTCATTTAGAGTTTTTGGAGGTGTGTTAGATGGTCATCATGCCTCTTCATAGTTCATATGTTTCATTTTGAGGGAAGTTGATATATTCTGCTTGGGGGATTTTAAGTTTGTAATGTCAGAAGGTCATTGATATGAGACTCTGGCCTCTTTTTGTTAGTATACATTTGGTGATTCCAAATCATCCTTGAGTAACCTCTGGGATATTTCCTGAAAGAAAACTTAAAAAACACTTTGTTGTATAAGGAATTTATGTCCCAATGTATCTAGGCCTTAACCAATTTCAAGTAGAACTTGAAGCTAGGCTAAACGTCCCAAAGAGACAGTGGTGTTAGTTGTCATCTTCTTTGATATTCACATTTCAAACAATTAAAAAGATAGATCCAAGGACTCTAAGAAAGATGCTCCTAAATTATAAAACTTGCTAGAGTTTTCAAAAGATTGGCATTCATCTCAAAAAGGAAGAGGATGGATTTGCAGTTGCAGGTTTTCTAAAGGAAATGCTGTAAGATAAAGGAGAAGAGTAGGGACTTTCTTAGGGATTCACAGAAATTATATATATATATATATAAAAATTAATATATATTAATATATTATATTAATATATATTAATATATATAATATAATATATATAATATATAATAATATATTTTATATATATATATATATATATATATTGTATTTGCCTGGATATCTTCTAGAATTTTACAATTTTCCCCAAGAAGAAACTCTTTCTTCTTGGAACATATTATTCATGAATAGGGAGACTGCAGGAACTCTAATTGAAAACAGAGGTTTTGATTTTTTAAAACCATGGGAAAAATCTTTCTTTATCCATTTATTGACACTTTATTTACTGAAATTAGGATTTTTCCAATAGAAACTTTTAAGACTTGTGTACTTTTATGAGTTGAATTACGTATCTTATGCCCCCTCCCAAACACACAGGAAATATGTTGGTATTTTGACCCCCAGTACCTTATATGTGACCTTATTTGGAAATAAGTTCTGTAGGAAACCATCCTCTAAAGAGGTCACTAGGGGCATCATTATAAACAACAACAAACACAAAACTAAGTTTGGACATAGCAAAAACAGGAGTAAAAGAAAGGCAATGTGAAGAGAAATATGGAAAAAATCATCAAATAAAGGAGACCTAGAACAGATCACTAATAGTTCTCAGAAGAAGCCAGTCCTACCAGCAATCTGATTTCAGACTTCTAGGTTTTGGAGGTATAAGACCATGGGATTTCTGTTATGTGAACCACCTAGTTGGTAGTTCTTTGTTACAGCATCCCTTACAAATTAATCAATGTTCTTTCAATGATGTGATAACTGTCCATTTCTAGTCAGTATTTTTTAATCACTAATATTACTGGTATGAAAATACAGCTAATTTGCTGTATAATTATCTTCCTGTATTTGCACTATGGATATAAATACATCTTTTTAGATTAGGAATCTGACTTTTATTTCCAATGTTTAAATATATTCCCATTAACATTTTGAATGGCTACTGTTGACTGAGAAATAAGCGGATTATATTCTTTCAACACAATTATGAATATCACTTCAGTTGATCTGCAAGTATTTACATCTGCATTTTCAGGGGCAAGGCCTTAACTGTAGAAACACAATCAAGGTTTCAAATTAGGAATTCACACCAGCTTAGCTATGTACAAACTTTTTTGCTACATCATTCTCATTGAAATTTAAGAAGTAGAATATTAATTAATTATTAATAAGGATGAGTTTGGAACAATGAACTGTATTGGTCCCAGTTGGCTTTATTGGTGTGCCAATAAGCTTTATGTTTTCCTTTTAGACCTTACATTCTATTAAATACATAGTTTCCATTGGTGTCAAAAATAATATACTCTGTAGGACTTCTCTGAAAGTGGTCACTTGCTGAAAAGTATCCACTGTCAGGGAGGAAAAAAAGATCACCCATCCCAAGGTTCATGG